GTCGTTCGACCGCGAAGTTGGGTGACAAACAGTATGTTGTGAGATAATGTACTTCCTGACATAGAAATGAGACGAAAAAGAACACAAGCAAACACATATCGTTTACGTGGTTCGATCCAACTGGATCTACGTCCACGGGAGGGAATCAATCAAATATTTCACTAAAGCAAAAGAAATGGAGAATACATAGCTTATACATAGAGATGAGCCCTCATCTTCCTTCTATGGCCTCCCTCTCAAGCGACACCTGATACAAGGCCTCAAGATGCTCTCCTCCTCTCTAACTCTATAGCTATTCTCTCATCTGTTGTGGTAGCTTAAGATCTCTTCTCCCTTGCTCTCCTAAGCCTCACACCCTTAAGATTTCTTCCCTTGCTCTCATAAGCCTCACACCTTTAAGATTTCTTCCCTTGCTCTCCTTTCTCTCCTCCTTTGTGATAGCTTAAGATCTATTTCCTTGCTCTCCTAAGCCTCACACCCTCTCTATTTATAGAAGCAAGAGAGTGGTAGGTGGGAGGTAGGTGGGAGGTAGGTGAGCGGTAGGTGAACGGTAGGTGAGATATGGTAGGTGAGCAGTACCACATTACAAAAGTGTCCTTTTACCTTATTCATTAATTGGATGGTTAAGGTAGGTGAGCGGTAGGTGAACGGTAGGTGAGATATGGTAGGTGAGCAGTACCACATTACAAAAGTGTCCTTTTACCTTATTCATTAATTGGAGGTTAAAATAACAATTCTCCACCTTGACCCTCAATTGAGAAGCTTCGAAGTAAAGATTCCCTCCACCTGGCCCCTGAGGGGGCCTCAGCCCTTGCTTGAGTCTGCTAAGTCCAAAAAGTACATGGACTTAGCAATCACGGTTTTTCTGATAAGAGAGTACAACCCCTTTTTCCTGAATCCTTGTATGACGACACGAGGGCCTTTGGTTACTCTGATGCAGCCATTCTCTGCCTTGAACGAGCATCCGCTTAACTCCAGTGTACCTAAAGAAATCAGATTTCTTTTGAGCTCTGGTACGTACCTGACATTTTTCAGTACTCGTTCAACTCCATCAAACTTCCTTATCCTGATTGATCCACTTCCAACAACCCTGTGAACTTTATTGTCTCCCAATAGAACGGACCCATCATTTCCTTGTTGTAGTGTCTCCAACCCGTCTTTGTGAGGACACATGTGGAAAGAACACCCTGAGTCGAGGATCCACTCTTTACTGGATTCAGATTCTGTGATCACCAAGGCCTCAGCAGAATCGCAGTCATCAAAGGCTACGCTTGCTTCTCCTGATTCTTTTGGCTCTTCTTGATACTTATTCTTCCTGTCTGGGCAGTTCCTCTTAAAATGACCATCTTTGTGACAATGATAGCACTTGAAAGATCCCCTTGATGACTGATTCTCACCATCCTTGCTTGGCCTTGATATGTACTGACCATTGCTTGAATCTTTCTTGTCCGATCTTCCTCTAACAATAAGATTGTCTCTGCTGACTTCCATGTCCCTATCATGCTTCCTCTGAAGTTCTTTGGCTTTAATCAGAGATTGAACCTCCTCCAGAGTAATAGTCTGCACCCTTCCATAGAGCATCACATCCTTGAAATGCTCGTAGCTCTTAGGAATAGAGTTTAGCAACAGTAGTGCTTTGTCCTCATCGTTCATCTTGACGTCGATGTTCTCGAGGTCGTCGATGATCTTATTGAACTCGTCAATCTGCTCTGAGACGGATTTGTCTTCATGCATTTTGAAGGAGTATAGACGCTGCTTCAGAAAGAGCCTATTAGCCAGAGACATTGTCAGGTAGAGCACCTCGAGTTTGGCCCAAAGTGCTTGAGCTGTTGTCTCCCTCAACACCTCCCTCAGAACTTTGTCGCCCAAACTCAGGATTATCAAACTGTGGGCCTTGTCCAGTATGTCGATCTTCTCCTTCTCAGTCATGTAGGCCGGCAATGTCGCCGACCCTTGCAAGGCTTTTGCAACACCCTGTTGAACCAATAGAGCTCTCATCTTTACTCTCCATAGGCCGAAGTCGTTCTTCCCATTGAATTTTTTTAATGTCGAATTTGACGGAACTCATTGTCGTGGCTAGGCTTTCTTCCAATGAATTCTACCTACTGCCCTTCCAAGAACTAGACTTCTCCCCGTGAACTCCACCACCTTCGTCAACCGAACGGAGAGCTCCGATCCCTTCTGACAGAGATCATACCTGTTCACCGGAGAAAACTTCCTGTATGTGCTCGGGCTTCCTTCTCGCAGACACTCCTTTGCGTCTAACGGAACAAATCAAGAATTCCTCCTCTGCCTTTCACACGAGAATAACTGCCTCTCCAGAGCTGTCGCGCCTCGCCAAACTGCTCAGGTCCTCCTGATTCACGAACTCCCGAACAGGGAACTCCCCGAACCGTTCTCTGCGCGATATCCACCTCTTCCCTCTGGCTGAGCTGCTCGCAAGACCAAACTCCTGCTCAGAAATCCTCTGCTGGCAGCCTGTCGCAAATTTTCGGCCCTCGCTAGCGGACTGTTCCTCCTCCGTCTCGCCGAACCGCACAACCTGCGGTGTGAATCCAGTCGATCAAAGCTTCCACTACTCACCGAATCTGACGCGATTTAGCTGCCTGCGACGCGATCCGTTTGCTCCTCTGTTCGTGAATGTCGAACTTCTCTTCTTTGTCGTTGATCGCGAACACCTTTACGCGGACAACTCTAGCTAAGAAGTATGGATCTTCCCACAGACGGCGCCAATTGTTGTGAGATATGTACTTCCTGGCATAGAAATGAGACGCAAAAAAGACAAGCAAACACATATCGTTTACGTGGTTCGATCCAACTGGATCTACGTCCACGGGAGGGAATCAATCAAATATTTCACTAAGGCAAAAGAAATGGAGAATACATAGCTTATACATAGAGATGAGCCCTCATCTTCCTTCTATGGCCTCCCTCTCAAGCGACACCTTGATACAAGGCCTCAAGATGCTCTCCTCCTCTTTAACTCTATAGCTATTCTCTCCTCCTTTGTGGTAGCTTAAGATCTCTTCTCCCTTGCTCTCATAAGCCTCACACCCTTAAGATTTCTTCCCTTGCTCTCATAAGCCTCACACCCTTAAGATTTCTTCCCTTGCTCTCATAAGCCTCACACCCTTAAGATTTTTTCAACTTTTGCTAAGTAGGGTATGGTGGACTTTTCATGGCTCACAAGATTCACATGTCTCTTGGAGGAGGCTTCATGACTTGTTAGAAGCAAGAGAGTGGTAGGTGGGAGGTAT